CTCTGAACAGTTGATCCTAAGTACCTAAACTCCTGCACCTTCACCACCTCTACTCCTTGTAGCCTCACTATTTCACTGTTCTCCCTTTCGTTTACACACATGCACTCTGTCTTGCTGCAACTGACCTTCATTCCTCTTCTTTCTAGTGCAAACCTCCACCTTTCTAGGTTCTCTTCTCGCTGCTGCCTACTCTCACTACAGATCAAATTAGTAAATATAATTTTTTAAATTCTGCACAGTATATTGCTGGAACAGAAAGACAAATAACAGGAGGTAGATGTTTGTGTTTTACACCTGTTCCTATTTATTTTTTGATTAAAAGGTAAACGCACTCACTCTGGCTCTCTTTTCCCTTTTCTCTTCCTCTTGCTTCTCCAGCTCTGCAATGCGCAGACTCAGTGCCTCCCAGTGCATGATAGGCAGCCCCAGGTCGTCCTCGCCGCATCCCTGCTGCCAGACCAGCGCAGCGCCCTCCGAATCTTCGTCTTCATCTTTGCTGTCTGTGTCCTCGTAGCTCCTCTGGTCGTCTTCGGCCTCATTACTCTCCTTCTCCTCTCTCTGCTGTCTCTCTCTCTCCTTCTCTCCCTCCATCTTTGCGGCAGCAGAGATAACAGAAGAGAGGGTCATTTGGACAGGTGAAAAATGTTGTTTTGCGATAATGTGGTGCAAAATAAGGAATAAGGTAACACTGGGCCAACAAGGTGTGGATGTAGTCCTCTGTGGCTTTCAATGTATGTGTTCACTTTAAATCCAACATATTTTAACCGTGGCTGTTAATTGACAATAATTAATCTGATTAATTACAGATTAATTACAGGGTAGCTATTAAATCATGACAATAATTAATCTGATTAATTACAGGGTAGCGATTAAAATAATGGTGATTAATCATGAAATCGTCAACATTCCTAAGTATGATAAAAAACTTAACATTCCTTGAATTTCTGGACAAATAACAGCAGGTAGATGTGAAATTGATTTATTTGTCAGTGTTGCACATCACACCACTGCAAACTCTGAAATGTGTCCTCACCTTAACAGGTCAGTTACATTTTAACATAAGATCACTTATTTGATAGCAGCCTCACATTCTTCCATCCATAGTGGTTCCATCCTATGGAGGATGCTCCAAATGTTCTCTTTATGGTTGAGGTCAGGGGAGGAAGGGTGCCACATTATTGCTTTCTCTCATTTTAATGCCAGTAGCAGCAAATGAGGTATTCATAGTAGCATGAAATAGTGCATTGTGAAGCATGGAGTTAATTTTGTTACAGAAAGCACAGTTCTTATTTCTGTAGTGTGAAAGAAAGTGGTCATCAAAAAACTCCACATACTTTTCTGAGGTCACACCAGGACTGCAAAGGGGCCAATGTATGTGTCTCTCAAGTTCAATAGATACAAGAATTGTGACGCTGCTACCAAATAAGAGGTTCTATGTTAAAACATAACTTTTTTTTATAACATTTTTCAGTTCTTTCCAATCTATAAATTGTTTTGAAACTCTGAAATCACACACTCATTCCCTACTCCCTATATAGGGAATTATATGTAATGCACTATATAGTGGACATGTAATTACGGCTGCACAATTAAAACACACAGACAGATTCTGCCTCTATCGCAACGCATAATGGGATGTATTATTTAGCTAGTATACATCTAATGTCACTGCCCCGATTTGCGATGCTGCCATTTGCGCATGCGCAAATTGGGTGCCATCTTGGACAGTGTAAAACGACAACTCCACTTGGACAAATTTGAGTAACGCAAAAGTGCAGTACTGTCTGTTTGTGCATGCGTGAGGCTTATTTGTTCGATTTGTTTTGATTTTATACAATTTTAAATTATCCAGAGGGACCTTTGTTAAGAAAGGTGCCTGTGTGTCATTTGGCATAAGGGATAAACTCATAATTGAAAGTTAAAAAAAACTCCAAACTCACAGAAAAAATATTGAGATATTATGATCACTTTTAGTCCATATCGCCCAGCCCTAGCCCATAGCATTCTGTGCTGTTTTGTTTGTGTTTACGTTGTCGACCACGCACCTTAGTGAGTGTTGACTGTCAGAACAAAGGCTATATCTCAAAGTGCAATTAAGTGTGTTGCTTTTTCTGTTGCTACCAAAGAAAAAATTGGCATACTGGCTCAACCATGTTGCTGGACTCAGTGTGTGTATAATAACAACCCAGCATCAAACTCAGGCCCACGAGAAGGTAAGGCACGAGATTATATTTACCCCACGAGATTATGTTAAATGTGTATTAGAGCTGGCCCGCCATTATATAGCCACTATATACTGGCGGGATTTGTAGTATTAGCAATGCATGCACAATATTATAGCACATACATGTGTACTTAAAAAAAGATATACAGATGCATGCACAATATTATAGCACATACACGTGTACTTAAAAAAAGATATACATTAAAAAGGAACTCAAAAGGCTAGAGATAGAGAGAAACATATAAGAAACAAATACTACAGAGTAAGCTTTAGTTGGTCCAGATTTTTACACAGAATTAAAGTTTGTTTTCATATGAAAAAAAAATCCAAATTAGATACCTGGAGAAAAGGGAAAACATGTACAATTCTAGTCTATTTTTCGATAAATATTGAGTTTGGCCCACTGCTAATTTGAGTTTGACACCCCTCTGCTACAGAACAAACATGCCCAAGTGCTGAGATCAATGCACAGAGTGAACACCTTTGTCATCCAGCCTGTTGGCAGGGCACAGAGAAGGAAAACAAACACCTATGCAGATGGCAATTTATAGAGGTTGTGATACTTATCAACCTAATTTATCCTACCATGAATGGATTTATTGATTATTATCCCAGGCCTAAGGGGAAAAGGATGAAGGGGGATAAATGACTAATTTCTTCCAATAATGTTCTCGAACTGTAAGGGATAAAATCCTGGCCTCGAAGGCCTGTTGTATACACTTTTAACAATAACCGAATCATTACCCATTTATTTTACTGTATTGCAATGGTAGAGATATTGGCAGAAGACCACCAGATTTTTAATTAATATTTAATTCTTGATTTATATTTATTTAAGCAAATAGCTACACAACTGAAACTTATGGTCAGATTTATATTTATTGTTAAGCCTTGGGCCCTCAAGAACAGTATACTAATAAAAACATTTTGTTGTTAACCTTTTTTAGTTTAATTTGTTTAGTGATTCCCTAAACTAGTGTGTCATATAGTACATACCATGAACATTACATTATCCAATTTCACTTCATTGATCTATAACATTTGATAAATGTCAGGTAGAACAACTAAATACTCTTTCATTAGGTGGCAGCAGAGGCTAAAATAATACAAGAGAGAGACTCAGAGTCTTGATTTGTGTTCAACTAAACAGGCCTAGGTTTTACAATGTGTAAGTTAAGTTCACATTGATGATATATGTATTTCATTACATATACTTTTTTGGATTAGTTAAAGTTTCACTTATCCATATTTCATTTCTCGAAAAAAAAATCATATGTAACTATAGATATGTGAAAAGAAATATGGACACACATTCATGAACAAAGGTCTCTAACTGTTTTTCTAAGCCGAAACCAATTTATATTTTAAACTTTAAACCGACAATGCATAACACCAAGGTTCAAATTTATGAGGTTTTCCTTATCTTAAAGTGTCTCATAAAGTATGGTGGGCCGTTTAGGCCAGAAATGCCTCGGTTGACCCCCGATCCCCCAAACCTCCAATCCTGTCCAGCCAAAGTCCTAACCACGGTAAAACAGTCTTAAACTACCTGGTGACGTGGCTTAAACGTGTAACATGTACAGAATGTAACAAAGGGTTATGTAAATATTAAATGTTTTCGACACAAACTCACCATTTTATGTGCGACACAAAGACAAGAAAAGAGAAGATGAGTGTTGCCACATTGCTGAGATCGCTCCTCTTCTCCCTACTCCTTTCATCGAGTTTCACGGTCTCCCTGTATCCTCTTATCAACAACTTTAGTTATCAAACACTATCACACATTTCTAGAAAGAGACTACCAGGCGTCCGACTTATTTGGGTGTGTTACCTGAATCTTTATCTGGTAATAAACACACTCGCAGTCGGTTCAAACGCACGGACAAAGCCACGAAACCACAGCTGAGGAATTTCACTGAGTTAACAAGTTTATGCACTTACTTTCAAGTTTGCTCTGGTACTTCCGGTTTCTCTGGCCTTCACAATAAAGTCTTCACGGACCGCGTTTCTAGCTCGGAAGTTGCGCAAAATGATTATCAAAATATTTCAAAAATAAATGTACATGTTATGTCGCTCTTCCCCCATTTCATTTGCCAATACGATTGACAAAGAAATTTGTGTATTTTAACAAAAACAACTAAAGATGCAGGTAAATACGACAGCAATAGAAAATGCTGTTTGTACTGATAAAACACAATTAAGTATCCAGCCTTTGTTTGACTCGAGATTTCATCCATCCATCCATCCATCCATCATCAACCGCTTATTCGGGGCCGGGGCGCGGGGGCAACAGTCTGAGCAGGGACACCCAGACTTCCCTCTCCCTCGACACTTCCTCCAGCTCTTCTGAGGGGACCCCAAGGCGTTACCAGGCCAGCCGAGCGACGTAGTCGCTCTAGCGTGTCCTAGGTCTTCCCCTAGGTCTCCTCCCAGAGGGACGGCACCCGAGCACCTCCCGAGGGAGGCGTCGGGGGGCATGCGATGTAAATGCCCAAGCCACCTCAGCTGACTCCTCTCGATGTGGAGGAGCAGCAGCTCTACTTTGAGCTCCTCTCGTGTGACAGAGCTCCTCACCCTATCTCTAAGGGAGCGCTCTGCCACCCTGCGGAGAAAGCTCATTTCAGCCGCTTGTATCCGGGATCTCGTT